TCAGATGTATTGTTGTTACTTCACTGTGCCCCCCACTAGAAAATTCTATGGACCCGCCCCTGTGCTGTAAGGGCTTGCACACCAACCTATACTTCTTTAGATGTAGATCCATGCACCTACGATGTTCTCCTTTTTTCCACACTACAACACGACCCCGTGAGCACCCTGTATCCGGCACCGCACACTGCCAAACCTCACATACGTGCTTGGAAGCATCTGTGCCACTGTTGCTTGTAGACTAACGAGGTAGCTGATACTGTAGTCGCCTTTCCATCGCTGCAGACACCAGTTATGTATCCCATACCTCCACGATTTCCTTCGCGTTGCCGCCTTTCCCGCGCTGCTACTGCCTGACACCTCGTCGCCGCAAACCACAGTCCCTGGTGAAGAGTTCTGGACCACCGGACGCGATGCAACGACAACATTTGTGAGATTTTGGGATTCTTGGAATTTTCTGATTTCCAGATTTCCATAGAATTTCCTAAGGATTTCCTTTTTTACCGATTCCAGGTAGGGTGGACTGAATTTCCGAAGTGAAATGCCCCTCGGAATTCGAGAAGGAAGATGGATATCGGCAGTTAGTTTGGATGTAGAGGGAATAGGAAATGAGATATTGGAGGGTGAATGAGGGTGTGGGGCATTCTCTAAGGCAGGGGTAGGCAATTAATTTTTACAAGGGGCCACATGAGAAATCTGAATTGTGTCCGAGGGCCACACCAACGATAGCTTGAACTTAATTCTGCTCAACTTTCTTCCATTGTAAAATGCACTAAATTATACATTTAATGCATTATATATTTAATAAATTATACATTTAATAAATATATATATTAAATAAATTGTATATTTAATAAATATATATGTTAAATAAATTATATATTTACTAAATTATATATTAAGCAAACAGGGACAGGGACGCACAAAGGGCCGGATATGGCCCGCGTGCCCTAGTTTGCCCAGGTCTGCTCTAGGGTCATGTTCAGGGTGTTTTAGATGTCTTCAAGATGGGAGTTGGGTGGGGAGGTCTGAAGAATAAAGCTTCTCTTACGAGAAGAGGAAGAGGGATAAATGTCCAAGGAGCGGAGGAGGAGGTGGATGTAGGAGAGGACATGGCAGATGATGGGGAGGAGCATTTAGGGCGTCATCTTCTTTGCTAGTTAACCTCGAACTCGCGTCTGGGATTTGATGCCGGACCTTTCGAGCTCATACCGTCATCGCTTTCAGAGGCGGAGCCCATCGCGTGGTCGAGAACGAGCTCGGCTCCCTTGCCTCTGCGCATGCGGGGCAGTGCTTCTTCCCGTGAAAGGCTAGATCAGTAGTAACTCGAGGAGGTGCCATGGCGTCTGATTTTGAAGACGTTACAAAAGTTGCAATTCTGTATTTGGAAAAAAAAAACATGGGGTTATTATTCATTTGTCTGTTTAATTATCAAAATGAATGTAAAATAATTATTGCAATGGTTATATTTTCATTGATCAATCTTCAAAATAGCCCTGTGGATGAAAAGAGTGGACGATTATGTTTATGCATAAATGATTCTCAAGTGGAATTGCTCACAGTGGGAGTCAAGCCAAAGGCCTATATTTTTTACTCAGCTTGAAGGAATAAAGTATACCTACTTTTATTAATACCTCCATGCAGAAGAAAAAATGAAGGAATAGCAAAAGGGGAAAGAAAAGACCATGCAATATTAGCTGATACGAGGATTGAGGTCTAAGGGAGGTGGGATTCCTACACTTGGTCTCTGTCTTTAGCGCTCTCCCAACATAAAAAAAATCTAATATCACTTGATGGTGAGGCTAAACTCTTTCTTCGGGGGGGGGGGTCGGATCCTCAAAGCTGAGAGAAAAGGCGACGTAGTGATAAGTCAGTCTTGGAAATGAGTGGCAACACTGGAGGTGCGGATCCTCAAGCAGTGCTCCGCGGAGGTGAAGGTCCTGATGAAAGTGAATGAACGTCAAGGAGTGGATGATTATGCTCGATCTGTTTTTGTGCCTGGATGTTTCAGTCTACTATGACACAGCATCTAGCTCCTGTGAACCCACGCCAACATATAAGTACTATCAGCCGCAGAGCAAAAAACGACTTAAAATACCCATCGACGGAAGAGCCTCTACTACCGAGGGCTGAAGTTTGCTGGAGATGGCTAAGGCTGCACTGGTGATGACCATCGCTGCGGCCCGACCAGCAGTAGGTGTCGCTTCCCGCCTCCGAGAGAGCAGCCGCCTCGGGCCCCTCGTCAGCAGTGGCAACCGCCGAACGTCTTGTCGCACAGAACGGACGTTCCAAGCCCCCACCCTGATGGCCGGGTTGTGTGTGTCTGTGTGTGCGATTGTGTGCGTGTAGGTGTGCGTGGGTGTGTGCGTGTACGTGTGCGTGCAAGGTCTATATAAGTACTTATATAGACCTTGTGTGCGTGTACGTGTGCGTGGGTGTGTGCGTATGCGTGTACGTGTGCGTGGTGTGTGTGTGCGTGGACGTGTACGTGGTGTGTGCGTGT